CAAAATGAACAACCAAAGTAAATGAGATAGAGTTAGAAATCGTTATCCAAGTGACGTACAATATGTTAACGAGGTTTGACCCGCTGACCTACGTCCCCACTCCCCACTCTCGAGGAGAATCCACTACACAATCCGGTTTGGAAGCCGAAACTTCTTCTACACAACGATCTCCACAAGATCTCACAACTACATAGTTGATCACCATAAGATCTCACTCTCACACAGTTGATCTCCACAAGATCAAGCTCATAACAGTAGTAAATGGTGTAAAATCTCTCTCTTTATAGTGTCCCCATGGCAAGGAGAAAGATCGCAATGAAGCTTAAGATGTGAACATAAAAACAGAGAAAGCAGGATTAAAAGTTTAGCTCTTAGTAAAACAAAACTCTGGTTTTTCAAAATGCTTTGGACAGGTTGAAGAAGAAGGGTATGAGATGTTTAAATAGGAGAAAACACAGCTGCCAAAACCCATACCCAAATCTCCCCAAATCCCGTAAAAAGATTTCTGAAACTGTACTGGAAAAACCCGTTGGGGTGAACGGTGGTCGACCGTGAGATTTTCGCGGTTGACCGCGAGGCACTTTCCAATCTGAGAAAATTTCCAGAGACTTTTATGGTCGATCGTGACGATCGACCACGAACTGATACATGGCTGACATAGTTTTGAAAACAATTTTTGACCTTTTTAAAAATGTATAAAAATACTCAATTGATTTCTAAACATTATGTAACTTTGTAAAATATTTTTAATACTAAAAACAAACTGTTTAGAAATAGAATTTTGTGAATAGGTCCTCATACTTGTGAGAAACAATATTTTTATAAAAAATACTCAAAATTATAAGTATGAAAACGTGTGTGTGATATCCTAATAGCTTCAAATGAAATCTATAACTACTTGCCTACATTCGAGCACTAGATAGAAAATAAAAACTAGCAAATATCCTCACATAGAATTACATTTCTTGAGTCTTGATATTGCTTTGAGTTGATGAAGCTTCTCATTGCGCTTATTGTTCTTGATTAAACATTGCTTCATCACTATGCCTCCCCCTTCTTTGGATATCATCGTTGTAGCTCATATTCCATCCAATCCTCCATAAGTGGTACTAACAAGCTTGATATATATATTAACTATAATATCACTCAACAAGCAATTAATACCGATAATGGTGGTTGTAAATCATCATCAAAACATCAGGGCTAACATAATCCCCATCTAAAGAGATATTCAAGAGACACCTTTCAGATTAGAAGATCAAACCTTAATTAAGATCCGTGCTCAAATAGTTATGGATTTAGGTATTACTTCCGCTCATTGTTGTTGTTTAATCACTATGAATTAATCACGAATAAGTCTAACATTTTCTTCATGCTATTTTAACATGTTTCTCTAATTCTCTAGAAGTTTCACTAGCCTACCTCTTACTAGTATAAATAAGGGTTGTACACGTAATCATCCTGAAAACACACAAGTACTCAAGTGTCAACTGCGTAGTGAGTGTGAGAGTGTGTCCTCATGAGCTAGAGAGCTATTATTTATGAATGTAAGTGAGAGTTTATATGGTGTGAGTGCTAATAATACTTGTACCTTGCATAAGTTTTTTTTTCTCATATCACTAGATTTCATATCAATAAGAGTTTTAGTTTTGGGCTTCCACTACTTTTTGATATCCAACAATTTGGTATCAGAGCAGGCATGATCGAGGACCAACACACATGGAGATTTTGCTTGTGCACAATTTGGAATTGTGAAGCCGACTGGCCACTGACCAACACTAGTAAAAAAGAGGGCATTGACAACTGGGTATTGGCGACGGATATCGAATCTGTCGCAAATACGAACATTGACGATGAGAATAGTCTTGTCGCCAATACCCCATCGCCAATGTTTGCGTTGGTAACGGGTGTTGACCGTCGCTAATGTTTTCCTGTCGCCCATGGTCATGGGTGACGAGAAAATATTGGTGACGGCCCATCCCCGTCCCTAATAAGTATTGGCGACGGCCAACGCCAGTATTGGGGACAGGTGCGCCACCATCGACAATGAGCATTGGTGACGCCTCTATTGCGTTGCCAATGCACATTGGTGACAGGCTAGTTCTCGTCGCTAATGTACATTGGCGACGGGTCAGTACCCGTCGCCAACGTCGCTAATGTACATTGGCGACGGGTACGTTCCCGTCGCCAATGCACATTGGCGACAATACATATTAGTGACTAATTATCCCATTGCCAATGAGTGGTCCCCACAAAAAATTAAGGGTTATTTTAATATTAGTTCCTTAAATCTTCAATATTTCAAAAGTAGTCCACCAAATTATGAAAATCGTTAACACATCTAGGGGTGGAAATGAACCAAATAATTAACAAATAGTTCGATAATTATTCAAATATCTATTCAGTCATATTAGATTCGGTAGTTCATTTAACACTAAACATATATGTTTTCAGTATTCGAGTTTGCTAATGATTAAATTTGACCAGATGTATATTCGATTCGTTTGTCTATTAAATATTCGTTAAAATTGATCACATGTTATTATTTGTATTATTGCATATATGATGTTGTATTTTTAACCACTTACATTTCTACTTAAGTTTTATATACTAATTTTAAAACTTAATAATCTTAAATCTGTTTTCTAATTAAATTTAGATTTAAATATGTACACATCATATAGTATAAAGGAATGATTTTTATTTATGAATTTTAATACTACTTGAAAATTAAATTCTTTAGCGGAATAAATATACTTTGATAGTCAATAAGTATTCGCGAGTTTTTGGCCTCGGCTTTGATTAATTTAGATAAATGATGAGAAAAGTTAAAATGATGAGAAAATGGTGAGAGACCAACGAGAAGATCATTTTTAGTTATACGTGTTACAAACATGTAACCATATTGATCTTGCTAACGATATACCTTAACTTATCATACCCCTTTACAATTAATTAGGAATTTTATGTTAATTTTAAAATTTATTTTTCTTTCATTTTATATGCTAGAAGATTCGATGACCTCCACTACTCTTGGTTTCATTTATAAATGAACTTGAGCTTGCAAACATCATTAATGAATTTGAGAGAAGCTAAATGAGATTTTATCACTAATTAAAGAAACAGATGGAGATTGTTTAGATAAAATTCTCTTGGAGTTTTTATAAGATTAAGAGGAGAAAGAGCTGTTTTAATTGAGTTAGAACAAAGATGAGATCTGTTGGAGAAAAAAAAAGTTTTTAATGGATTTGTGTTTTGACGTTTTAACGGGTTAACTGGGTCCAAACGAGTTGGATTTTTAATGGGTCCAGTTTCTTATAATTAAAAGTTAAGGGAAAATGGTAATAATAGTTAGATTTAAAAGAATATTTTTTTAAATCTAATCGGTGTTAGAGGGGACCTAATTGTAAACATTGCGATAATTTGAGGGATGTAATAGAAATTTCCACGATTTGAGTGACTAATTTTGAAATATTGAAGATTTGAGGGACTAATTTGGAAATATTGAAGATTTGAGCGTTGCGTCCGCCGCCGCGCCGTCGTCCATGCTCGTGGCTGA